TGATGCATTTACTAATCCGCCATATAGAAGACCAGTTAAAGAATGTTATATTAAACTGAAAGCCTATTATATATCCTTTATTTAGCAATAGTTACTTTTCTATCTTATAAATACAATTATCAAATTAATATAATTGCTTTATGAATTTAACTTTCTTATGACATTCATTTATATGGGAAAATTATCAGTTCCTGGTGGGTCTGTAGGTATTTTATAATTCTTATTTACTTGCTACCCATGTTAAAGCTTTTTTTTTGTAATAACCAATTATTATTAAGTCAAAATTGTAGTTATACATTGATAGAAGTTATAATACTAACTTTTTTGTGAAATTTTCCACACTTAGCACTATATGTATTTTTGTGTAAGGTCCCTTGGTATCTTTTTATGCTATTTTTTCTTTGTTTTTTCCTTTTATCTATAAAAATAAAATAATTTAAAAAATGGAATTTGGCCCTCTGACCGAATGTGTTTTATACCCTTATGGAAGTAACAGAAGCCCGAGGAAACCCAATTAAACTGGACTACTCTGAAGTGTGCCATGTTTGGAAGCCCATTTGAAAACATCGGCTGGTCCAGAATGTTGCAGCTGCATTCGATAACAGCATTTATTGGGAAGTGAAGTTCGCATTACATGTTCTCTGCTTCAGTGCTTTAGCTTGAATCTTTCCAATCCGCTGCTTTTGATCCTAGAAGCGAAAGGAGCACCGCTTCTTTCAGCAGAAGGAAAGTTGTCTTTTCTACCAGAATGCATCCTTCCCCTGCTTCTTCATTGCAGAGACCAGAGGAATCTTATTCAAGCAACAATCTGGCAACCTGTACCTGGTCTCCAACCACCTTCCCTTTCCTTTCTTCCCCATCCTCTTCTTCCCACACCTGAAACAGGTATCCAACAGGTAATATCGTGCCAATACAGTTTGACCCATTTTCTTATGCTAGATTGACCTTAGGACAAAATCCAGAATTGAAATCAGAAATAAAAATGTTTTTGTGGTAGACTTGAACCGACAACTTGATCTTCGCTTTGGATGAACTACTGGGGGAAGAGAGAAGTTTTTGTCATTTTCTGATTTGCATCCAAATAGACTTTGCCTGCAGCTCTGGAGTGATGATTTTTAGTTTGGTCTGGCCCTCCAACTGTTGCTCAAAACACTGAGGGTGATCGGATGCACTGACACACAACCCTTGTCTATAAGTATCTGTTCTTGGTGAATAAATATGATACATCAGATTTAATGGAGAAATGGAATAGAAAATTGTACCACTGACAGCCGCCTCCTCCTTGTGCCCAATCCCCTTTTAAAAACCTCCACATGGGTGGCCATTGCTACATCTTGTGAAAACGAATCCCTGAGTTTAACTCTGTGCTGTGTGGAAAGGTCCATCCTTTTATCTGTCCTAAACCTCTCACCCGTCAGCTTCATGGGTTCTAGGGCTATAACGGGGGGAGAAAACCGTCTCACTCAAGTTGCCTCCTTCTAGCTCCTTTTAGGTGCAGTGACCAGATGTATTCAGTTTCCCACGTGTGGTTGTTCAAGGCAAGTATGATCTTGGCAGTTTTGTTTTCAACCCTTTCCCTAATTCTACGTAACATGAAACCTCCCAGCTTGGATATCTCCTTTCCGAGCTCTTGGCAATCCCTTTTTGTCTCAACTACCCTAAATAATTTAGGGCCTTCAGCAAACTTAAAAATCTCGTCGTTGCCTTGAGATAATCTATGAACAAGTTGAAAAGCCCCGGCCCCAAACCAAATTTCTGTGGGACCCCAAGGTTTAACCAAGTCCAAGATTCCCCAATCATATTGATACTTATTTTTTTCCCTTATGTGGTATCTATAACACTGTCAGCAATCAGCAGGAAGGAGAAGAAAAACTTGGTCTGCTTGATTGGGTGAGCAAATGACCCACGCTCAGGCTGGACATCAGGAAAAGCTTCCTCACTGTCAGAGAAATATAACAGTGGAACCAGCTGCCTGGAGAGGTGGGGGGCTCTCCCACACTAGGAACATTCAAAGGGAAACCGGACGGCCATCTGAGTGGGATGGTGTAATGTGGTGTCCTGCAACAGCAGGGGGTTGGACCCGATGGCCTTCATGGCCCCTTCTGACTCTACTATTCTACAATTCAGTGATTCGGTTGCAAGGTGTGGTTTCACAGGTGCTCATCCTGCCGACTGAGTCAGTGTGATGCAGTATCAGAGGGCTGGACTGGGATTTGTGAGAGGCCTCTTCATGCGGCCATGAAGCTCACAGGGAGCCATTGGGTCAGTCCCTGCCACTGGTGCTGACCTACCCAACAGGGCTGTTGTGAGAATAACAGGAAGAGGAGGATTCTGTCAACTGCCTTGGGCTCTCACAAGAGGGGAAAAGGAGGGACAGAAAGGCAATAATAATGAAATCCATCAACAAGCGAGCATTGTCAACAAATAAAAATCTGCGGCTGAAAATTTCCCTAAGGTGCAGCAAACACCCTATTCTGCAGGGAAGTAACTGAGGTAGACGTGGATGCGAAACAACCAACAGATATATTTAATTTGAAATGGAACAAGATCGCTTGGGAAACAAAAATCAAAGTTGGCCAGATCTGATGGCGTGTGGGCAAGGGGTTCGTCAGTCACAACTTTTTCTCTTTGTGACCTGCTTCGGACTGGTGCCGACGCTGTGGGGGGCTGCTGGAGAGGAGCACGAGGCGTCCACAGGGCCTGGGGCCTGCAGGGGGCTGGTTTCAGCCTGGACGCCAGTGGCGGGGCCAAGGGACGGCGCTGGGTCGGACCCCGGCTTATCGCTTCGCATCCCATGTTCCTCTGGAGGGGGAGAGCTTTCCTGGGCCGAGGCGGCGCTCTCAGAGGCATCGGCCTGTCTCTCGCCAGAGCTGGGACCAGTCTGCTGAGCAGGCCACGGGGAGCTGAACCCCGAATAGATGTTGCAGCCTGGAAAGGGGCCGGCCAGGGGGTACCTCTGGCTGGAAAAGGCGGTTGCGATGGCCTCCATGGCGCAGGTTTGCCGTCCCATGAGGTCGGCCAGGGTCTGGTGGGAGCGCTCGATGGCGGCGATCATCTGGTGGGTGGTGACGCGGTCCTGCTCCCGCTCTTGCTTCTCCTGCTGGCGCTCCTGCCTGTCCTCAGCCCGTTCTTCCTGCCTCGTGCTTTCGAACGCCCGGAGGTCCTGCTGGTGCAGCTGCCGGAGGGCGACCACGAGGTCGGTGTTCGTCTTGGAAGAGGGCGAGGCCGAGTCCATCAGCCGCCGGGTGGATTCCAGGCGTTGCTTCCAGGTGCGCTCCCGCCGGAAGCGCAGGCGGTCGGTGCTGTTCACGGGAACCTTCCTGAGCTCCTCCAGGGACTCTGTGGGAGACCAAGCAGCGAAAAGGGAAAGAAAATAAAACAAATAAAGGGAGCACCATTGATCATTCCCATATTTTGGATGTTTGGCGGTGAGAACAGCTCCTTATGAAGCTGAAATGGCACCGTCTGCATTCGAGAGGGGAGAGCTGGAGAGCCAGTGTGGTGTCGTGGTTAAGAGCATGGGACTGGGACTCAGGCGATTTGGGTTCTAGTCCCCACTCAGCCATGGAGCTCACTGGGTAAGCCTGGGCCAGTCACAGACTCTCAGCCCAGCCTACCTCGCAGGGCTGTTGTTGTGAGGATAAGATGAAGAAGAGGAGGAGAACTATCTAAGCTGCCTTGAGTTCCTTGAAAGGAAAAAAGGTGGGATATGAATATAATAAATACATAAATGTGGGAGAATCTTGTTTTGGAACAGCACAGAATATTTTTAAGGTAGAAAAACATAAAGGGGGATCACGATTACAGTGAAGGCAGAAGAGAAGGGAAAGGCAGGCGAGCAAAATTCAGGGTGAAATGCAGTGGAATCCGTCCCTGTAGTATTCACAGATTTTTCCCCCCCAATTGATATCCTGCCTTTTTCCTACAAAGGGCTCAAGGCAGCTTACATCTCCTCCATCTAATCCCCACAACAACAACCTGGTGAGGTAGGTTGGGCTGAGAGTCTGTGACTGGCCCAAAGTCACCCAGCTGGCTGCATGGCTGAGCGGGGACTCGAACCCGGATCGCCTGAGTCCCAGTCCCGCGCTCTTCACCACGACACCACACACTGGCTCTGCATCTCCTCTGCATCCACATCCACACCACCTCTCTACCAGCCCACAGCTGAAACTCTCACGGCAGTTCACAACATGCTGTGCTTGGTTTGGTCTTGGAGAGCAAGCTGAGTGGAGCAGAAGTGCAGCGAGGGCCACTGTCTTCCGTGTCATGTGCAGCCGCACGCGCAAACCCTAATTGCACAAGGCGTGGAAGAGCGGTGCCAGCGTACAAGGCACAATTCGTGGCGAGCAAGCCGCAGACGCTGGCTCGGGGTTGCGGGAGAGCGGTCCAGGGCCCCCAGAGCTAAGCAGAGGGCACCTGATGGATCCCTCACACATCCCTAACCCCAGGCCCCCGGGGCCAATGAGACTGCCCCCCCCATCCCTCCACAGGAGTTCCCCCCATCCACCACCTTGGGGGAAAGCTCCGTTGAGGTGCTATTTGCAATCTGGCCCCATCTCTTCTTCTTCTGCTTGCATGCTGCCTTGGCAAGATTTTATCCTGTAGGGTCCAATGGTCTGAGGGCACACGAGTCAGCCACTTTGCAGGAGCTAAGCAAGCCTGGCTCTGGTCTGTGCTTGGAGGGGTGACCATCTGGGAACCCCACGCAGTCTGCTCGAGTTCCACAGTGGAAGAAAGGTGGGATAAAAATGTAAAAATAGTAAGCAATACATAAGATTAGGCATGTCCCACTAAGGGTCCTGGGGCAGAAATGGAAAACTGAACAACCGTGAGGTAGCCACAAACATTCAGCCACTTGTTGTGGGGAGAAACTGATGTTTGGGGAGCAGGCAGAGGCTGGCCGTGCAGTGCAGAATCTCTCGGACCAGAGGGTTAAAATCCCAGGAGCTGTGAACCAGGGGTGGTGAATACTGAAGCCAAAAGGAGTAGAACCAAAAATACCAGTACATTTTCGCTTAAAATGTCTCCGGCTGGAAGCTGCACATCCGGAAAGGCCTTTCAGAAGTTCAAAACAGGAGAAAATCTGTGTAAAAAGTTGGGGAAACACCAAACCATCAAGTGACTCAGGAAACTGGGAGAGGCCTGCAGAAAAACAGGCGGTCCTCCCGGAAATCTCTGAGGGCCAGATTTCCAGCCCTGGAGGGCCTGAAGTTCTGCACCCTGTGTTCTCCTGAGCTCCTTCGCACAAAAGCAGATAGAATAAAAATGTGTCAGCTGCAGACAAATCTCTGATTGCCCTAATCACTTGAGGCAATGCAGCAGGTCGAATTACGATGCAGCAAGAAACTTTAACAAATGCAGCCCGTGGAATGCAAGGCGATACTCGACTAATGGGAAATTTTTAGAGCGCTGGGCTGACCACACTGCTATTGGAGTGAATCTTTTCCTGCAGAATCTTCATGGGGAGGAAATTTCTGACCTCCCCTTCCCACTGCAGTCCCTGTAACCTCTACTCCCTTCAATATTTTCACTCCCATGGGGCTTTTGGGGGTCTACAACACCTCCTCACCAAACTCTGGCTGAGCCGTCCTTGAAACTCAGCCGGTTCAGCCCCATGTTCGCCTCGGAGTCAAAATCAAACCAGCGACTTTTTAAAAGGGGCCTCTGCAGAACTGCTTCTTTCAACCTGTATTAGTTTCACCGTTAATAAAAAGAAGGCATCGGCACTCACCGGGCATCTGGGCTGCCCCTGGAGTCTCCTTGGGGAGCGGTGGGAGGTTTGTGCTCTGAGGCGGCTCCCCCTTTTCCACAAACGGCACGTTGTCGGCGTTGCCGAGCTTCGGCGTCTTCTGGGCTTGACACGCGAGTTCTCCAGGGCTCCCCCGAAGCTCTCTGGGGGGGCTGGCCTGGGGCAAGGGGCTGGCAAAGCGCGGCTCCAGAGCCTCGGCCCCCTCGGCCCCTCCCCGCGCAATCCTGGTGGCCGTCATGGGGTTGAGGGGCAGCCGCTTCCGGCGCTTGTCCAAGCGCTCCACCACGCCGGCGCCACACACCTTGCCACAGACGATGCCCTTCCGGAGGCACAGGAACTGCTCCAGGAGCTTGAAGTAGGGCGCCGTCTTGGGGGCCCGGCCCGAGTGCAGGTTCCCGCACTTGATCTCCTTGTAGCCCCGCTTGAGGTCCTTGGCCCGGCTGCGGCACTGCTCGGCGTCGCGCTCGAAGCCCCGCTCCCGCAGCCGGTCCGCGATCCAGGCAAAGAGCTTCATGTTGCGGTACTGCTGGCCCAGGGCGATCTGGACATCCTCGGCTTTCCAGATGTCGATGAAGGCGATGGTCTCCTTGCGGGACCAGGCGTCCCGTCGCCTCCGGGGTTCGGGAGAGGGAAGGTCTACGTCTGGGGGGCTGGGGACCGGATCGGACAAGGGAAAATGTTCGGCAGCCAAGTGGGAGGCCTCTGGGTCAGTCTCCAGATGTGCAGGCTGAATAGCAAGAATAGTCTGTGTTATTTATTTATTTATTTATTTATTTATTTAAAACATTTATATGCCGCCTATCTCACCAATGGCATCCCTAGGCGGCTAACGATCACACAATTAAAAATTCACAGTAAAACCAATAAACTGTACATTAATAGACATGCAAAAATCCAATATAAATATAAATCACATTAAATTAATACAGCCAGAGGTTAAAATGGCATTGATTGAAAATTAAAATGTCTTTTAAAGAGGAAGGTCTTAGCCTGGTGCCAAAAGGAATATAAAGAAAGTGCCAGGTGAAGCTCCTTATGAAGAGCACTACAAATAATAATAATATGGATGATTATAATAATAATACATGCAGATGTTGCCAGCAATGAGTGATTCGGAAGCCAAGTACATAGGAAGTGGCCTTGGATGGGCTTGGATAATTTATCCATTCAGCTTCTCCCAGGGAGCAACTAGAATTTCGGCGCCAGGCAAAGACCTTTTTATTTAAACAGCATTTTAAATGTTAATACTATTGAATTTTATTTGGCCAGGGCGGCTTATTTTATTCTAATGTATATATTTTAACTGTTATTGTTTTAATTTATTGTGTATTTTATTTTATGCTGTGAGCCGCCCCGAGGCTTCGGCAAGGGGCGGCATAGAAATGTTTTAATAAATAAATAAATAATAAAAATTTCCCATCCTTTGCTAGCTGGTCCTTTGCTAGCTCAAGGATTAAAGGCTGAATTCAAGTGGTGGGCGGGGCTGAAGGCAAAAAGGGGCGTGGTCAAAAGAACCAGCACATTTTATATTAGGGCTCTTGGTGTGAGTAGCCAAGCCCTAGAAGAGCGTATGTTGATGCACTTCTGGAACTTGCACTGCTGTTAGCTTTTCCCCTAGGTTTTATGCTGTTTTAAACTTAATGGTTTAATGCAATGATTTATTATGTTTGTTTGTTTTCTAAATTTAAGCTTTGTCTTGTGAACTGTCTTTGGCTAATGGGTGGTAGAGGAATTTAATAAAAAATTAAATTAGATTTTAGAATGTTTAGTTTTAATTTGTGTTGCTTTTAACTCTGGGGTTACTGTTTAAATTCTCAGCTGTATTGTATGTTATATTGCTAGGTTTTGTGTTTATGTGATGTCTGTTTATTCCCCTTCTATTTGTTAATTTCCATGAGGTGGGTGAATAGTTTAAAAGACTGTATATATCATGGAATATTAAAGACGGTTCCAATACAACATTTATCTGTGCAATAATCTCCTCCTTCGTGACTAACAACAACAACAACAAAAGACACAACCTGTGAATCTTGCAAGAACACAGGCGTATCACCGTATGAAAAACAGCTGCCAGATAACTTTGACTGTGGGGCAGTATAGAAAAGAAATAAATAACTAAATAAATAAAATATTGCAACAGCAACCATCAGCTGAATTAGACCGTGCCTTATCAAAGAGATGTTGCTGCATCTGATAAACACAAAAGTTTTCGCTGATCCAACCTGGTCAACAGGTGCAACGGGCTGATGCCCTGAGTAAGTATTTTGTTACAAAAGTTTCTCAAATCCCCAAATGTGGCCACGGATCCGAAAACACTGGAAAGCTCTGCTCCAGCTGCCTTTCATAAGGGAGTAAGAACAACTATACTAGCTTTTCTCTCACAGTGGCAAACCAGATGGCTCTGGAGCTATTCAGAAAACAGGCAGACACTTCAGATGGAGCCCTCCATCAAACGTTAATTGGGAAGGAAAACATTATATAACTCTGAAATGTATAGAATTTATACCATTTCAAACCCCAAAGGGAAAGCCCAAGTTAGCTAAGACATCCAACAGCACACCTGATAGAGATATTTTCCTGGGTTGCTCCCATTGAAAAACAAAAAGAAAAGCCCAAATATTCAGGGCAGTGTCTGTTTTGGGTATATATTATCCTTCCATATTATGTTCATGGGGGTTTTCAAAAGTATAATAATATACAGACATCAGAAACAATTGGTCTGGAGTGTTGCAGTATACAGAATGCAAAAGTTCATAGTAAGTTAAAAAAGATGTCATTATCATTAGATAATGATTCTTGAGCTAAGGGTACAATCCAGTGGCCACCTGATATCTGTACAAATGGGATCATTCAGAGCCGCAACCACAACATTCTCCAATCTTGAGGTTGGTGTTCCAAAAAGACCGCTTCCCTCCTTTGGCAGTTTGTACAGTGGTTAGAACCTCCCCTAAGCTGTCACTCGCCACCTGTGCTGGACTACGAGTCCTATCATCCCAAGCCCACTTAGCCACCAGTTATAGTTGCCCTACAGTACAGCGAGGGCATTGGAGATGGTGTGAACCAACACTTACCGTTTGGCTCTCGGCCTCTTGTTTCATCTGCAGGAAATCCTCCGCCAGGCCCACGGCTTGCGCACAGGTCTCCGGGTCATTTTGCCTCACGCAGCTCTGGACCTCGGGCGGCAGGACGGTCAGGAACTGCTCCAGGATGACCAGCTCCAGGATCTGCTCCTTGGTGTGCCGCTCGGGCTTCAGCCACCGGTGGCAGAGGTACCAGAGGCGGCTGCAGGCCTCGCGGGGCCCCTCAGCCTCCTGGTAGCGGAACTGCCGGAAGCGCTGACGGAGCATGTCCCTGCTCAGGACCTCCACTCCCGCACTCTCTTCCTTTGCTGCCCCTTTCTCGGGGCCCGGAAGCAGCTGGGGGCCTCGTTCGTCGCTGAACCACCGGCTGGCTTCCAGAGCCCCTTTGAAAGAGGGGCGAAATGACTTGGAGTCATCCCAGGGGGCAGGCTCCAGCCGCTGTGCATTCCCCCGTCCGGACTGGGGGGACTGGCCCGCCTTGGGGACATCTTCCAATGGGGCATCCCAGCCCTGCGGTGTTCCCTCGTCTGGCTCCTGCTTGACCTGCTGCAACGGGGCCCACCCGAGAAAGGCCCTGGTGGCCCCGAACTGGGTGGTGTGCCTCCTCTTGACCTTTCCTTCCACTCCCAGCTGTGGTTTGAGGCCTTCTGGGTTCCTGTCCTCCATTTTCATGCCTGTTCTGCCACGCTGGCTTCTGCCCCAAGCAGCTTGCGACCAAATCTCGCCCTTGCGCCACTGATTTCCTCTCTCCTTTGTTCTAAAAGAACCGGCCTGGCTCAGTCCTCAGGCATGTCTTGGGATGTGCTTTCTGGCCACAGGTCTTCCTCCGTGTTTGAGTGTGTGTATTTCTCTCTCTCTTTCTCAGAAAGAAAATGCTGTCGGGCCAGGATCACACAGAAGACAAGGATGGTCCAGGACCTAGAGAGCTAGCTTTGCCCCTATGAGATCAGAAAAAGATTGGTATTATGAATAAGGATATTATGGGATCACCTTTTATTTATTTTTATTTATTTATTAAAACATGTTTATGCCACCCCATTCGCCGAAGCCTCGGGGCAGAAGAGCAGAAGACTTTCCAAGGCAATGCAGAATAATGAATCCAGTCATAAAAACAGGTCTGGTCTTAGAAAGGAAGAAAAACACAAGAAAAACAGCAAGAAACCCTGCAACCGCAGTGAAATCAGGGGGTCAGGGGGAGGCCTTCTGAAATGCTGGAAGCAATGAAAAGGCACAGATAGTCATTTTGGCTGCCTGAAAGGTTAAGCCACCAGTTGGATGAAGGGTGCAATCCTATGCAGAGTTAGGAGAAAAAAGGCCTACCATTCCCAGTATACCTCCAGCCAGCCAAGTGAGAAACCATCTAGGAGTCCCCGATGGGTGGCGTGGGGGTCAGGCATTAGATTCAAGAGTTCTGGATTCTAGTCCCCCACTCAGCCAGGACCCTCAGCCTGACTACCTCTTAGGGTCGTTGGGAGGATAAACAAGAAAACCTGGGGACAAAATAAGCTTTTTTGGATTCTTTACGAAAGGAATCAAGATACAATATGAAGTGTAGTAGACCATTTTTCCTACAGATTAACAGTAATCTCCATTCTTCAACTGATGGACCACACGAACCCCCAAGAGGAGGTCTGGGGTGCCCCAAGATTTGTAGAAGCACCCAATCCATTCGAGAAAAAAAGGAACCCAAGGAAACAAAAATAACCACCCGGTACACTGAGCCTGATTGCTGTGTGAAGGTGCAGACAGTAGCAGAGGGAACCAAGTGAGATGGCCTGAACAGAAGTACTGTGCGCTGCAACATTTTGATACAGATCAGATGGGTTGTGACTTCATAGTTGCTGAAGGACTTATAGGGATTTCTTAATATTACAGGAGGGAAGGATTCAAGGCACTCTAGGTGGTAATGGACTCTATAGCCCATCTGCCCCAGCCAAGGGATGATAGAGATTGGGAGTCCAGGAGCAACTATGGGGTCCCCAATTCCCCCCACAGACCTGCTATAGAACATCAGAAGCAGTTTTGGGTTTGTGCCCCAAAGCACTTACAATCAAAAGATGTTAATTGTCGGGAAAGCCAACATTAAAGGAGGCGGCCCAAATGGAGATGGGTCCAAGACTCAAATGAGGAAGAGGAGGCCTTTAGGAAGGCCTGTAACCAGAGTGGGTTGGAGGACTCAGAACTTTTAGGCAGATTATGGGAAGGATTGAAGTTTAGCAGCAGGGTGCCATGTTTTGCAGGGGCGAGTCCCAGATTCAATCCAGTTAAAAGGCTCGCAACTAGCAAGTGATAGCTGATAAATGATTTTTTTAAAAAGAGACACTTCTTTGCTCACACTTGTCAACCCACACAGGACTTAAGGTGGTCGTTCATCACAGGGGCCCTGGTTCAGCCTGCTGATCCTTTTGGGAGGACATCAAAATAGTTTTTAGAAGTGTGCCTTTCTCTATGTTGTATGCTTATATGTAGTATGCACTTTACTATGTATTCTTAAAGGGTTTAATCTCTGTTAACCAGCCACAGTTTCAACTACTGGCAGCATACAAATATAATGAAATGGAATCCTAGGCATGTTTAGGCAGAAGAAAAATCCTACAATTCCCAGCATTCCCAAGTCAGCCATACTGGCTGCGGCATGCTGGGAGCTGTAGGAATTTTCTCCCCTGGCTGCACAAATACCCGCTATATCAAAGCATCTCTGGGATAACGGTGCGGAACCACCATCTGCCTTCAGGGCCGCAAATGCTGCGATGCAACACGGGCGCAAAGAAAATCCATACGATTCCAAAGATTGGGGGTCACGGCGGGGTGGGAGAGGAAAGCGGAATCCCTCCTTCCAAAGCGCACACGCATCTATCCCTTCCCGCCGCGCACACACGTTTATCCTGCCCACGGAACCCCCCCTTTTTGCTACGCGTTAAGTTGGAAACAACCCCACAAACACTTCCCCCCGCAAATCCGAGCGCAGGAGGGCATCAGTAAGGGCAAGCGGCGGCTTCACTCGGCGCTGCGGAGCATGCACAGCGGAAGACCCCCCCCCCCAGCGCAGGCTCAGACGAGGAGCAAAAGATCCCCCCCCACACACACACACCGCATCAGCAGCCGGCAGGAAAGCGTCACGGGACAGGCGGGGACGCCCCCACCTTCTGCACTCAGCTGGCTGCTCGTGCCTGCCAGCCTGCCAGCCAGCCTGCGCCGCCCTCCTCCAGCTTGCTCCATTCCGCGGAGATCGCGCTTTCTAAAAGGAAATATGCAGTGCAATGCGGTCCTTGCAAAGAGGATACTTGTGGTTGTTATTATTTTTGCAGTCTGCATTTAAGATGGACCAGGCAGGGGAGACGTGGAGGGAAGGGGGATCCACAGAAACAGAGCAGAGCGATCCGGCGGGGGAACAGGGGGAGGGAGAGCCCACTTCCCTTCAGACCCAGCCCGCCGCACTCACCCATCTTTTGCCACCCCGGCCGGGCAAACTTCTCTCCTCCGGCTCCTGGGAAATCCGGACTCCAGTTTCCCACGCACGAGGGGAAGGAGGAGGGAGGGGACCCGAGCAGGAAGGGGCTGGATTAGATCTTGACATCATGAGCCCCTCCACCGCCGGCCTCTCTAGGAAGCCGGAGCGAGCCCTCTTTCCGTAGCGCATCTAAACGCAAATTGGTCTGGAGAGGGGGTGCGTGTCTTTGCTCCCGCTTCCCGTTCAATGTTTGTTTCTCCCTTCTTCCCCACCTCCGCTCTCTTTCTGCTCTGCCTTCCAAGGTGGGGTTTCTAGTTCTCCATCGTGATGGGGAAAAGAAAAAGATGACAACCGCTCCTGACGGATAGCTGCCTGCCACACGGATAATTCAGAGTTCTGCTTTCAGACGCAATCTTGCGCCTATTTAGGGGAAATAAGTCCTACAACTCCCAGCATTCCCTGCAGTTCCCAGTACAGCTGGCCAGAGAACGCTGGGAGCTATAGGACCTTTTTCTGTCAAAGAGGCACAGGACTGGACCGGAGGTACCTGGAACTGACGTGAAATAGAGGTATGCAAGATACCGGGAGGAGGGGCTGTATTCCCCAGACTGCCATACTGGGAACTGAAGGACTTCTTCTGTCTAAACATGTGCAGGATTGCATGAAAGATGGTGTATCCTAGTGGTTAGGAGCTCAGGACTAGGACTCAGGAGATCTGGGTTCCAGCCACCGCAGCCATGAAACTCTAGCTTTTAGTCACTACTCTCAGCCTGGCCTACCTCACAGGCTGTGGCTGTAGGACTAAAATGGAACTTAAGAGGAAATAAGGCAAGACATAAATGCAATATACTAATTCCCATCAGTTCAGTACTGCAATGGTAAATCTGAAGGTGGGCCTTCTTCCATATTTACCTGCCGCTCCTTAAGATCTGGATCGCAGGTCCTTCTTCAGAATCCCTCTTTGAAGGAGATTAGGAGAGTGGCTACCCGGAGAAGGGCCTTCTCTGTGGTGATGCCTCCATTATGGAATATGCTCCCCAGAGAGGTTCACTTGGCACCGACACTTTATTCTTTTTGGTGCCAGGCCAAAACCTTTTAATTTTCCCAATATTTTTAGGTTTAATTAGGGTTTTATAGAAAGATGTGATGCTGTACTCTATTGCAAGACCGTCCTGAGACTTTTGTAATAGGATGGTATAGAAAAGCTTTAAATAAATAAATCATAAATTATGGGGTTGGGCTGGGACTGGGAAGATTCAGGCTCTAGCCTTTCTCAGCCACAAAACTCACTGGAAGACTTTGGGTCATTCATGAATTCTCAGCTTAAGTTACCTCACTGGGTTATCGTGAGAATAAAGTAGAAAGAAGGTGGATTCTGTGAGCTGCTTCAGGCTCCAAATAAGAGTGGGGAAAAGGCAGGATTTAAACACACTACTAAATAAAGTAAGAGCAGAAAAAGAGCTGTGCTGGATCAGTCCATCAAGGCCAGTATTCAGTTTGCACAGTGGCCAACCAAGCCATAGCACCACCCTGCCCATGTTCCCCAGTAACTGGAGTACATGGGCAAACTGCCTCTGATCCTCGAGGTTGCATGAGCAAACAAGACTAGCAGCTACTAATAGTTTTCTCCTCTGTGAATTTGTCCAGTCCTTTTTTAAAGTCGTCCAGTCTGGTGGCAGTGGATTTTGTGGCAGTGGATTTTGTCGCTGAAATCTGCACCGTACAAAGTCCCTCTTTTGATCTGTCCCGAATTTCCCACCATTCATCTTCCTGGGGTGAGTCCTGTGGTAATTCATTTCCTACAATATGATGGGAGAGGGAGAAAAATGTCTCCCTTTCCACTTTCTCCATACAATGCATAATTCTGGACACCTCTGGACATAATTCTGGACACCTCTATCCCGCCTTCCCTCACTTACCTTTTTTCTTAACCTATCAATCCTAAACGTTGTCATTTTTCCTTACAGCAACTTCCGCCAGATCCTCGATCATTTCAGTCACCCTTTTCTGCACTTTTCCCAACAACAGCCCTGCAAGGTAGCCTGGGCTGCGAGTCTGTGACTGGCCCAAGGTCACTCAGATAGTTTCATGGCTGGGTGAGGACTTGAACCCAGATCTCCCAGGTCCTCAGTCCGACACTTTTTTTGTCTTATTAGGCAAAAACAACTCCTGGAATTATGGGGGGTTTTTTGGTCTTAATATGCATAACATGATGCCTTCCTGCCTTTCACCGTTTACTCAGAATGAAGACCCTGGGCCAGCCTTCTGCGGAGAATATGTTTCTAAATTTGGTGCTTCAAGATTTTGTTATGGGTTTTAATGTTTATACTGTTTTGCCATATTTTCAGACATTGTTGCAGGTGAGGGCAGCAAAGTTCAGCATCTCAGCTCCTTGGAAATGCCTTTGAAGGCTGCAGTTGTGATTATGACCTTGGAGGGTCTCTTGCAATCCTCACCTCCCTCTTTTTCCCACCCTCCATGGGATACCCATAATCCTCTGTTGTTTTGAGGATTATGGGTAACCACACTGGGTGGTGTCCAAAGTAACAGAGCCCATTTTATATGGTACTCAGAAGAAATCATGTTGTGGCAGAAATACAAGGCAGATACCATGACACGGCCCCTCGCCTCCCTCTTCCCTCCAATAAAGTTATTTACTGGTCTCTTTTTACCTGCATATCAACCGATTTATCCATGCAATAGCCCTGCGAAGTAGATCAGGCTGAATGAAAGTAACAGGCCATTGAGTTCCATGGCTGAGTTGTTATTTAAATTTGGACCACTCAGTCCTAAAACAACATGCTGATCCAGGCTTTTCTATCCTATTGTTCCCAGATGTTGTTGGACTACAACTCCCATAACTCCCAGCATTGTATTTTTATCGTTTGGGCTGAGGCTTGATACAAATTTGTCTATTTATTTATACGTACGTGTATTTATAGGCTGCCTATAACTGCTGAGGCCTTCCAGCAGCCTTTGGACATGCTATAGAATGGGTCTATTCTAAATAAACCGAGAGCGCTGGCTGGGGGGTGATGGGAATTGTAGTCCAGTAAATAATTGGTGACAGTGGCTCCCAGAGTGCTCCACTGCAGAAACTCTCAAACTCCTCTTTAAATCAGTTAAACCTCATGGGAGACTTTAGGGCAGTCACTTATTTTCAGCTGAAGCTACCTCACAAGATTGTTGTGAAGATAACATGGAGAGTAAGAGGATCATGTAACTTTTTTCAGGTTCCTTACAGGAAGACGGCAAGAATATAAATCTAATATGCAATGAAGTAAAGCTATTGTGGTACTAGAGTGTTTTCTCACTGGATTTCAGCCGCAAACCGCTGATTTGGGCGCTCTCCACCCCCCATCTGGCCAGTGACATGCTGCGGATTGTTGTAGGTTCCAGAGCAGGATGGAAATGGGCCCTTGATTTCTGGAAACCGCCTGACCTACTGGGGCTCTTAATCGATCTTTTGCCCACCTTTGCAATGCAACTCAAAAGGCAGTTTGCGGGGAAGAAGCCAAGCCCATCCAAGATTTCTGTTTTTCCTCCAGGAATTTTTGAGGGCTGGGGGAAGGTGTCTGTGAGCAAAAGAATCCAACCGCACTGAGAGGAAACGTTGAAGCAACAGGGCCTCCAGCATTTAAACCGTTGGGTGTCCAGTTTCCTGGAATTATAGGAAAAAAACATGGGGTGGTTGCTAGGTAGCCGGCTTAGCTTAATTGCATTTCAGTCCAGAGGGGCTGGCTCAGGGGTTTGGCAGTGACAAATGAGCCGACATGCATGGAAAAGCCACAGTGAAATGGTTTAAACGAATTTAAAATCAGCAAGTTCTACCAGTAGAAGGGAAAGGGAAATAATTCAGAGTTGTTTGGCTTGAGCTGAAGATGTTAGATTATATCCTATTAATATGTTATGCATATTATGCATAATATACACACACACACTCATACATAATATTTCACTGGGATGCAAGCGGTATGCAACCGGAGACAGCACTAACCCACTGGAATTCTATTGACTTTTTATAAGAAGACAACACATTATTTATTAACTTATTTAACTTCTTGGGTTAAATCTGCCTTCCTGCTCACTAAAACTCTCTCCATCTAGAGCGGTTTTGAAGTACAGGTACTCATGGCAGAGTCCAAAAATGCACAGCTTTGCTGATTCAAACCAACTGGATGCTGAATATCAATTGGGTTACCAACTAGATAATGGAAAGCCAGTGAGGTTTAGTGGTTAGAGCACTTATGTCCTGCTCAGACATAAAGCTCACTGCCTGCCTTTGAGCCAGCCAGATTCTCAGCCAAGCCTACCTCGCAGGGTGGTTGTGAGGATAAAATAAAGAGGAAGAAGACCACTCTGTAAGGTACCTGGAGTTCCTTGCAAGAGGAGAAAAGCTGAGATATAATTATTTGCCTGTGTGTATTTTTCCACCGTATCTGGGAAAATCCATCTCCCCTCTGCACTCCTCACCTACTTGAGGATTGTAAGCTTGGCTCAGAAGGGAAATGAGGGGGTGGCAGATGAAGGTTGCATCCTTATTCCTGGTGCTTTGACCCAGTGAGGTCCAGTTCCACTACACCACAGTCAGTACCGTGCCCCCCATAAGGGGATGGATACCCTTCTGTAAGGATTGGAAGCTGCCCCGGGTGCGGGATGCTTCCGCAAGGTCGTGGTGTGATATATCCTGCTGTTGCCTAACGCAGGCAGTTAGAAATCTGCCACCAGACCAGGTGTAAGATTTTTGCATTATTAACCCAGGATGCCCTAAGCAACGTGGGACGGGATACCGGAAAGAATTCCTCTGGAACTGATTTGCCTGACTGCTGCAGTCATCAGCTTGCGATCAGGAAGAGGGCCTTTTCTGTTGTGGCCCCCAACCCCGCCCTGCAATACCTTCCCCATCTCCAGAAATATTTATTTATTTATTTAAAACTTTTATAAACCATCCCTTACCTTGGTCTCAGGACGGTCTTATAATAAAACAAAGTGCAGCACAGCATCCAAATTAATTTTCTATACGAAATTATCTATACAATTAATTTTAATTTTTTTAATTAATTTAAATTAATTTAAATTAATTTTCTACACAAAATTAAAATTATCACATTAAAATCAGGCTCAGAAAATTAGACAATAAAGCCTACTTGACTGCAACAGTTTAGATACACATCAAACCCCGCTTTTCTAGTCTCCTCCTATGATTTTCAGCTTATTTCTTCCGAGTACCCGGCCTTGCTTAGCCAAAATAGCGCATCCACGCACCAGTGGGGCAGACTTATTAGATTTTTTTCGCTTTTACTGCAAAGAGGATCACGCCTCCCTGGCAAGTAATAATGGGAGGAGAGATTCGCCCCAGGATCTGAACTACCATTCCCAGAAACCCTTGCAACCCGTCAGGGCTTGCCAGCCTCTTGTTTTCTCTCTGCCACAACAAGGGCAAACTTCGGTGCGCGTAGGTTTTTGCAAACGCAAGCAAGTCTCCTGCAAAACTTCACTCGCTCCCAGAAGCAGCCGTCTGGGGAGGGAAGGAAGGAGATTTCCGATTCCTAGACCGGAGACCCAAGCTCCGTGCCCGCCTCTTCCTGCACTGTTTCCTCCCTTGCAAAACTGAGTCTCCTGCATGTACTTTTTCTTCCCCCACCCACCCCAGGAGTAGCCGCGGCTTTGGGGTTTGGGAGGAAGCTGGAAAGGGCCGCCTGGGTGAGTTGCATGCGCAACGGGAGGAGAGGACAAAGCGGGGGGAGCTTTTGTCCGGGTGCAAAGGGGTGCGTGGAAGCGAAAGATCTCAGAGGCTCCCTTAGCCTAGGAGAGAGTTGGCTTGCCTGTTTAATATCGTGGCTTTAGAGGGCAGGAATACGGAGACGGTGGACAGAGGGGCATTTTTCTCCCACTCCCATTCTCTAGCACCCAAAGGGATCGTCTCAGGACGGAGGAAAGGGCGCTTCTCACGGCACAAAGCGGAATTCCCTTCCACTAGCGGTCGGGGTGGCCACCCATTTGGAGGGCTTTGAAGGGGGCTGGAGACATTCATGGAGGAGAAAGCCATCAAGGTGACTAGTCCTCAGGCCCATATGCTACCTCTAGGACCAGAGGCTCTACGCCCATGTCCCCCAGTTGCTGGGAATCATGGGCAGGAGGGTTACTGTTGCTCGCCTGTCCTTTTTCTGGTTTCCCCTGAGCGACTGGTTGGCTCCTTTTCACTGGGACCTTTTTCTGATGTAACACAGCTTTTGCTGTGCTCTCAAAGCAGGACTTTGGCCCTGGGGCGCATTTTTTCTTCCATTCCTGCCTCTCCTTTCCTCCAAGGTGGCACGGTTAGTTCCTTCCACCCACCATTTTTCCATTTAAGCTCCTTTACAGCCCTGTGAGGTAGGCTGAATTGGGAGATGACAAGAGCTTAAACTTACCCAGTGAGAGCTTGGCAGCTGAGTTGGGCATTGAACCTGGGTTTTGTCGGGCCCGGCCTGACACTTTTTCACAGACTTGCCCAAGCTGGGGACTTCCAGCTTGCTAGGACTGCATATCCCATCATTCCCAGCCATGAAGTGATGGAACGTCAGTCCAGCACATCTTGAAGGTGTCATCTTGACAAAATCTGGCTTTATTTATTTATTTAAAGTATTTATATGCCATCCTGTCGCGAAAGCCTCAGGATGGCTCTCATAGATAGGGACGGCTCACATAGATAAGCCGTCCTTTAGCTGCAATATTGCAGAGACTCTGCCAGGTTTTTCTTTACCCAAAAAAGTATAAACCCTGCCTTTTGCTCCCAAGTGCGGTTGTCATTTGGTGATGCAAAACCCCATCCTATGCAAAAGTAAGGGCGACTGAGTTCAGTGGGGCACACTCTAAAATAAAAATGGGTGTAGAATTGCAGCCTCAGTTGGTTAAGAGTTACTAGTTAAGGGTGCAATTCAATGCATGTGTGGCAGGAAAAAGACTTGTGATTCCCAGCCATGTTTTCTGGGGACAGTGGAACCTGTTTCTGTCCAAACCTGGATTGGATAGCTATTATTACATTACATTTATAGCCTTCCATTTTTCCTCTTGTGAGGAACACAAGGCAGCTTACCTGACTCTGTTTTATCCTCACAGCAACACCCCTGTGAGGTAGGCCAGGCTGAGAGTAAGTGACTGGCGCACAGTCGCCCTGTGAGCTTCATGGCCGAGTGGGAACTTGAACCCGGGTTTCCCAGGTTTCCAGTCCAACACTTTAAAGTAACTCAGGAGGTTTCCTCACTTTACTGGGTGATCGTTTTCAAAAAAGCTGAATGTGGTATAAATACCGTTTAAAGCTGCAAAGGGCCAGCAAGATTATAGAAGAGACACTGATCCTGAAGGTGTTTTGTGTGAGAGACATACAAATGATCCTGGTTTTTCCCCAAGTTTGCCGATTCCTCCTCTAGGGAATGGGAGCTGTTTTGACTATGGGTGCTTGATAATTGGATTTGCAATAAGAATGAAGCGGCCTTCCTCCAATCCGGTGCCCTCGAGATGTTTTGGACTACAACTCCCAACTTTCCTGACCATTGGTCATGCTAGGCTGAGGCTGATGGGAACCACAGTCCAGGTTTGCCCCCCTTGACTAAATACAGGAAATACAGCTTTGCCCCTCAATATGTTAAACTCAGTCTGCAACCTCGCACAGTCAAGGAACAAAATATTGGCTCTCTCTTGCTCAGTTTACATTGGAGCAGCTTTTCTGAAATACACCCCCTCTAAATATTTTGGACTGCAACTCCCATCATTCCTGACTGTTGCCTGTGCCTGTTGGGGCTTCTGGGAGTTGGTCCCAAAGGTGAAAGTTAAAAAGCCATGAAGCTCTCTGGGTGAAGTTGGGCCAGTCACTGATTCTCGGCCTAACCTACCTCGCAGGGTTGTTGAGAAGATCAAATGGAGATGAGGCAGATTATCTAAACTGCCAGGAATGCCTGGAAAGAGGGGAAAAGGCAGGCTATAAATGCAATAAAATACAAAAAATACTGGGATCTCTTAAGAGGGAAAAAGGGACAGAAGTTTTTATGTTTAGGGGAAGTGGCCTGCATTTGCATTGGTTGTGTTTTTGGAGGGATTTGTTTTCTGGAGAGCTTATACAGGTTCTCTCAACCACTTCCTCCACTTTTAAAATGTTCAGTTTCCCGCTACGCCACATTGTCAACAGTTCTTGGAAGGCAGATGTGGCTGAAAGTCTGGTCTGAACCAAAATGATCGTAAAAGTCTCTTCTCTTTCAGGACGGGGCAGGGCTGGGCGACCCCTTCTTTCACCCAGCTCCCCCAGTAACATGTGGTCAGAGCTGGTGTTGTAGCCCCACTTTCAAGGCTATTTATTTATTTATTAGATTTCTAGCCCACCTTTTTTCCTTCCCAGGAACTCAAGGTGGCTTATATATTTTTCCTCCCTCTCTCAATCTTATCCTCACAACAACAGTCCTGTGAGGTAGGCTGGGCCGGGAGTCTGTGACTGCTCCAAAGTCACCAGTGTTTATTTAATTACTATATTTCTTCATCACGACTCTGATGCTAGTCAAGGGGATTTAGAAAGCTTTCGCCTAAACAAGAGAGCGAGAAAGGGAAAAAATTCCAGGGCGTGTTTTTTTTTTTTTTTTTGTCCAGCTCATATTGGAAATACTATTTTCGTTAGTTGGGGCCTCTTGTCTGTTTTTGGAGATGTTGATAAAAAGGCCTTTGAAAAGTGCTTTCAGTGTAGAAGGGTTACTGGAAAACCTCTATTTTTTATTATATCCGAAGAAAGACAAGTGGTCCCTGACAAAGGAAAAAGATTCTTTCCAAAACCCATTAGACAAAATAAATATTATTTCCAGGTACCTGAGAATGTTTTTCTTCCTTTTGTTTTTGTAGTGTAGCAATGTCTTCCTCTTTCATTGTTTTATGGACACTTCAGAAAATTAAAAGGCATAGTAATAAAAAACAACATGGTAAAATGTTAAAAACAACTTTCAAGGCTGTAACAACCCTTTTAAAATGAGTCTTAACCCTTGTCTTGAACACAGAAAAATGTGGGGACCCTGTGCAATTCCAAAGCTTTTTTTCCAACATGATGCTCATCCATCCCCTCCCGCAATTATTTGGAGGAGTCATAGATTTTGCCCAGTCTTTATATCAAAGCCAACAAACTGTGATTAATTTTAATGATGGTTTGTTTGGGAAAGACTACTTTCAGACCATGGCAGCTACCAGCCCAGTCTGAAAGTAATCTGGACTTTTCAGCAAACCTCTTAAGAGAGCTTGTATGTCCTGTTATGTATAGTGGTTGTAACTTTGTCCCAAGCATCCCCCATCCTATTTTCTGAAAATATCTATCATAAAGAGACTCCTTCCACAGACCCCTTGTTTTGTGCGATGCCCATTTTTGCAGCTCGGGTCAGTTAGGCAAGCCTTCTCTTTGCCTTCCTAGCTTTCTTGGTGCAGGGAGTTGTGCTGTTCTTGTTTTGGAGCGGAAGAATGGTTTCCTGTCACAGGACCCTCCAAGTGAAGTCTCAAGATCATAGCCTGATCATAGTCTCTGGGAGGCCTCTGGGCACACATTTTCTCTTATTTCCAAAATATGCTCTCTCCCTTAGGGAAATTGGTCACTCCCTTGTCCATGTGGAGCATTTGCTGCACCGTGAATCGGTGAGCTGCTGGAGTGCCGTGGGCAAATCAAGAAAGGCAAAGAGCAGACAACTGCAGAGCCCCGTCTTGTGTTGGATGCCTTTGAGAGATCCTGTCTCTTCAGCCCGGGTTAGGGATTCCTTCAGCAGAGAGAGGGAGAGAGAGAGAGAGAAATGGCTGCTGAACAGGCCATGAATATCCTCCCGGAGAAGAAGAGCTTCTGGGAGTCCCTTCAGAGGAAACCCGGAGAGGAGATTAAACACGAGCCATGTGACGGGCTCCTTCAGCAGTGGGAAGTCCAGTGGCAGGAATTCCTGAAGATGGTGGAGTCCCCACAGTCAGGGTTGGGAGCCCCGTTGGTGCCAGATGAGCCCCCCCCATGGGACGATGCCAAGGGCTTCCTGGCCTCCTTCGAGCAGGTGGCCGAGGCCTGCCGGTGGCCCAAGGAAGAATGGGCGGCCCGACTCCTGCCGGCCCTCAGCGGCGAGGCCAAACGGGTCTTTAGCAGCCTGGAGGGCCGAGACAGGAAGGACTATGGGAAAGTGAAGGTGGCCATCTTGCAGGGAGATGCCCTCAACAGGGAGAAGCAGCGCCAGCACTTCAGGCACTTCCGCTACCATGAGGCCGAGGGGCCGAGGGGCGTGTACAACCGGCTGCAAGAACTCTGCCGCCGATGGCTGAAGGTCGAGCGGCACTCCAAGGAGCAGATCCTGGAGCTGCTGATCCTGGAGCAGTTCCTGACCGTCCTGCCACCGGAGATCCAGGGCTGGGTGAGAGAACGAGGCCCCGGGTCCTGCGCCCAGGCGGTGGCCCTGGCCGAGGATTTCCTCTGGATGCAACGGGAGTCTTTGCGATGGGAGCAGCAGGTGAGTCCTTTCTTCCTGCATCCCTCGAGCGAATTATGGTTTGCAGAGAGAGGCATATGGAGGGTTTGGCCTGTTCTCTGGCTCCACCTGCACCTGTGAGCAGCGCAAGGGCATCCTCAAGTGGCAAGGACGGATGGATTGATGCTGAAGATTTAGGGCACAGTCCAAGCCGAACTCCCATAAACCTGCGAAGAAGGAGGGTTATGGGCCTCCGCAGTGGAGGGTTACGGAGCGCAACTTGATTTTTGTCTCTTCTCCACCCTCTAAAATGCACTCCAAGGTCGCTTCTTCAGTCTTGGAGTGACGGCTGGCGTGGCTCTTTCTGCACCAGCTGTGAGAAGGCAAAAAGGCCACCTTTTGCTCAGAGACCCAGCCGGGAGGCCAGAAAGCTGTTTGGCTGGACCTCTGGAAAAACAGTTTTGGGACCTTGATTTTGAAAACCAGTCAAATAAGAGGCTGTGTATGTTCATCCCAGGAAAAGCATTCCACAAATACCAAAAAGGCCTGTTTTGTGCCTTTCAATTTAACAGATTTTGAGGGATGGTCCCTCAAGGGGGATTGGTGAGAGAAGTGTGGGGTGAGCGTGGCAGAGATGCCTGGACTTGGGACCCAAGGGATCTGGGTTCTGGTCTCCACTCAGCCGTGAAGCTCACCGGGTGATGCTGGTCCAGTCACTGACTTTCTGCCTAACCTACCTCACAGGGTTGTTGTTGTGAGGATAGAATAAAGAGGGGGAGAAATGTGTAAGCTGCCTTGGATTCCTTGTAAAAGGAGGAAACCAGGGTATAAATGCAGTGTAATAATAATAATAATTTTGAAGGTTCCTGACATAAATTCACCACAAGCCTAAAAGGGCAAGACAAATGACTGAACTGGACACCAGGCCATCGTCTCACCTCACGCTGCTTCCACCTTGCAAAGCCGGCTAAGCCGCCCCGAGGCTCTTTGCGAATGGGGCAGCATAGGAATGTTTTAAATAAATATACAAATAAATTCAGGAAGGAAATGATGGGGTTCGCTTTAGTTTAGTTTTGCATTTGCAGCAAACATGAAGGTATGCTATACGCACACAGACTGAATTCGGACAACACAGTCCCCCACACTTGGGTTGAGAATTTGTTGGTGGACAACCCGCCATTCGCAACCCAAGAACAAACCATGGGTTTCTTCCTGGGTTGCTTGTGGTTGACAAGCCATGAACGATTTCCAGGACTGGGTTCGGACAGCGTAATAACCCATGTTTTGGCAACAACCCATGGTTCCGTGCCTACTCTTACTCAACCTGAACTCAACGCCTGGGTGTGGGTCACCCTGTTGTCGGGACCCAGCAGAGCCATTTTGCCCCCTCGGTCCACTGCTGGCATAGCTGGAACCCAAAGAGGCCCGGATCAGCCAGCAAGATGGATTTCAGGTGTCCTGCTGAAAACAAGAGTGCAGTGAGGGCAGACGGGGGGAGCCTCCCCTCTGCCATTTTCAGGCCATTCCTGTTCCATGGGACTGTTTCACGGCCTGGTCTTCCTTGTCCTTTCAGGTGGTAACAACAGCGATCCCTTCGGCAGCAGAAATCAGCCCAGTACCTGAAGCAGAACCGGCTCCGTCAGAGGCTGGGAAGCGGGCACTCTGTTTGGTAGTCAAGCTGGAATCCGACGCCGGACACGTGAGCTCATGTAAGTGAAACACCGGGTTGCAAAAAGAATTCATGGTGCTCATCGACTGCGACAGTAGGGGCAATTACTTTTTAAAACGCGTGGACTTTTTCTCTTACCTACCTACCTACCTGCTGGCTGTGATCTGAATGTATGAAAATGGTTTCTTATGCAGCCATCATGGGCTGTTCATAAGAGTGAGGTATCAGCCATCTTGCAGAACAACAACAAATCATTAGGCAAAAACCATTGAAGCCCCCCCCCCCCCGCAACCTCTTCAAGCTCATGTGAATTGGGAATGAGAACTGAACCAAACGGTGCTGCGGACCCTCAGCAATGGTCCCATATTTGCGAAGTGCTGTTCGTGAAGCGAAGCATGAAAACACCATTATTTTTCTCCTTCGCAGTTTAGTTACAATTAGTTGTTGATAACAGCTTGCTGTAAGCCCCTAAGCATTTTAAGCAGGCGAGATACATCCTTTCCTTTTACTCTGTGACCAACCTGAAAATACAAAGGCTGCTGAAGGAGGGAGGGAGCTGGTAAAAGACTGGTATGCGAGCCAGTGTGGTGCAGTGGTGAAGAGCGCGGGACTGGGACTCAGACGATCTGGGTTCTAGTCCCTGCTTAGCCACGGAGCCGATTGGAAGACTTTGGGCCAGTCAATCACTCTTCAGGCCAGCCCACCTCACAGGGTTGTTGTGGGGATAAGATGGAGGAGTAGAATGATGTAAGCTGCCTTGAGCCCTTTGTAGGAAAAAGGCAGGATATCAATCAATCAATCAATCAATCAAAGACAGTTTTGGGGGAGAATGTTTTGTTTGTTTGTTTTAAATCAAGGTTAGTAGCTTCCAGAGTAGTTTGTTAAGAGGTTAGTAGCTTCCAGAGCCACCATGGAAATAAAAGCTATAGCTCCATATTGATTGGTTGGTTGGATTGAATCCCTGTGTTTCCATCCAAATTTTAAAATAAAAACTTCTAAAATTAAAGCAGTCTTAAAAATAGATCAACAAAAGAATAAGGGTTTTTTTATGTGTTGCAATTGTATTCTTTTAACCGTTTTATGTTGTTTACTGTGTGAGCCACCTAGAGAGGCCATTCTGGTAGTTATAGGCATCGTATAAATATGGGAGGGCGGGAAGGAAGGAAGGAAGGAAAACAGCAGCTAACCCTGCAAACAAACGTGATACCCCAAAACTTGCTTCAATAAGAATGTGTATTGCCTGCCAGCTAAAGGACGCAGATGAGCAGTAAAGCTCTCATAAAAAAAGGAATAATCTACTCCCTGTATCTGGTCCCAGTCAATGTTCTGGCTGCAAGTATTTTGGACCAGTTGAGCAGCCTAACAATATCAAAAAGAAGGTCCCTCCAATCCAGCACTTCTTACACATGATGACAAAAGATTGTGCTGCTCACAGGATCCCTCCAGCAGGATGGGTGCAAGGCATCTGCCTGCCCAGCATCTCAGCAACAGGTGTGTGCAGGTGAGCCACCTCTGGTGAAGGAGGGAGCACATGGCCAACAGGGCTAGAAGCCACGGAGAGCGTCCTCCTTCATGAATCTGTCCAGGCCCTTTTTAAAGCCATTCAGACTGGCTAGTAGAAATGTTTTGCAGGCTAGTAACTTTAGTGGAAAGGTTTGCAGGCTAGGAACTTCAGTGGGTTTATTTACAGGGCTGGTTCATTGACTTCAGTTCCTAGTTTAGTAACTGTGTTCTCCAATCTGCCTTTTTCAAGTCTCTCTCCATTCCAGCAGGTGACGCTTGGCAGAGCGAGAACAGCAGAGAGATGCTTGAGGTCCCAGTGGAAAGGGCTGGGCAGCCAAAGCTGGACGAGAAGCTTGAAAATCAAGCTGCACCGCGGAGGACAAGAAACCTTCAGACAGACAAATGGAAGAAAAGCCCTGTTGCTTGTCAGGGTGCTGGGTTCCATAATGCATCTACCCCAGAAGATAAGCCAAATGAAAAGAGAAAATATAAGTGTAATGTCTGTGGGAAATTCTTCAGTTATAAGTCAAGCCTTAAAATACACCTAAGAATCCACACAGGAGAGAAACCCTATAAATGCCTGGAGTGCGGGAAGAGTTTCATTCGGAGTGATCTCCTTGCTTCACACCAAAGAATCCACACAGGAGAGAAACCATACAGCTGTTCGTACTGTGGAAAGAGCTTCTGCGATCTCTCCACTCTTATTAAACATCGGCGAATCCACACTGGAGAAAAGCCATACGTGTGTATGGAGTGTGGAAAGAGCTTCAGTCAGAAGGCAATCTTGAATTCACACCAACGAATTCATACAGGGGAGAAACCACATAAATGCATGGAGTGTGGAAACAGCTTCAGCCGGAGTACTTACCTTATTTCTCATCAAAGAATACACATGGGAGAGAGAACGTACAAAAATGTAGATTGTAGCAGGAGTTTTTCTGAGCAGTCTGGCCTTATTCACCATCAGAGAATTCAAGTTGAGGAGAAACCATGTAAATGCCCCGAATATGGTCAAAACGTAAATCAGCATGCATCACGTTTGGCACATCAGAAAGGGTATACATTGAGTGACACTATCAGTGTTTTTGAACGTGGGGAAAAACTTCAACTGGAGGCAACATCTTATGAGACTTCTGAGCGTTCAAGCAATTAGTCTTTTGACTGGTCACCCACAGCAAGTTGAATTTGCCTCCTGGCGACCAGATGAGCTTCCGCTCCAGGGATCAGAGACACAGGGGTAGCTGTCATCACAGCAGAAAGGGCAGCAGTATAAATGCTTGAAAGTTTTTTTTGTTCTTCAGTGGTGATGCAAACTACAGCAAACATACATGGGCTTGCTATTTGCTAACCGGCTTTAGGCTTCTCAGGTTTCAGGGAAGGATGGAGTTCTGGTCTATTCTCAGTCACCACCTCCGCCTTCCCATTTGCCACACTGCTTATGCAAGCAGATCTCTACACACTCGTTTAGGCTCAGACTTTTATCAGAATAGATTTGGTCTACTAGCCCATCAAATATCATCATGTTAAATCAAATCAAATCAGATTCTTTATTGTGGTCGTGGACCAGCATGAAACAGAACTACTGAAGTTGCTTCACCATTACCATAAACAAAGATTTAAGTATATTAAATACTACAATTATTGACCCAACATTAAAATAATGGTAAAGTTTGGGATTAAAAAAACATAAAATGCCAATAAAGTAAAGCTTCCCAGCAGCCTAGCCTTATTGTGTTGCTGTATAATCCCTCTAATTTAGAACTCTGGTGTAAATTCATCATATCAGGGCATGGAGTATAACATCTCTCATGTTCCAAATTAGAATTGCCGTAGTCCATCTTTTTCCGGGTGTTAATCATGGCTGCAAAAAACTTAGCAACCATATATGTAATAGTGGGATTACAGTCTTAATGCAACAAATAGCCGTAATATTGACTTGAACACCCTGGGAACATATTCAACAATGGGGAAATAAAATCAGCATGAATTTTTCTCTAGAACATAAAATTAAACAGAACATGGTTTGAGTTTGTCCTGCGGTGCAAGTCGTAACCACTGAACAAGAAGTGTCTTTTTATAATAGCCCTCTTGAACTGCCGGAGGAAGTCCACCGCACTGGGCCAGTGTGAATGCCCTTCTGTGTTTGGGAACCTCCAGCTGAGTGAGACAGGATGTGGAGCAGCATTGCATCTGCAATCCTCACGAATATAAAATCCATTTACTCTGCCAATATTTCCTTGTGTCTGTAATTCATTGTTTAATGGCCTGATCAAAGCCCATATTTAATCGAGTTGATGGGGAGAGACCCAAAGGTGACAGTTTCAGCTCATTTGTCTTTGTCCAGCTAGATTTGTAATCATCCTGGAAAATACTGTCATGCCTTGTCAGATGTTGTGAGATGGTGTAGGACAGAATGTAAGATTTATTTCCCAAATTTTACATTCCAGGATGGAAACCTGCAGGTTATCCTACAGCTAACACCAAATGTGGAAGGACAATCTTGGATTATCTTCTCTGTCTCCCCAAACTTGGGATCATCTCAGTGGCTCTCCGTGCTATTCCCCTTTGAACACTTGGCTCCACAGAACCCCTTGCCAAGGGCTACCTTAACAATCGTGATAACAACCATAATAAAACCCTTAACCATAAAGCTGCTGCCACCAGAATAAATCCCTCCATCATGTAGCCAGTAGCAAACATCTAGACCTCTGGTGGGATGGACATTTCAACTAGAAACTTCAACTAGAGAGCCAGTGTGGTGTAGTGGTTAAGAGTGTGGGACTGGGACTCAGGCGATCTGGGTTCGAGTCCCCACTCAGCCATGGAGCCAACTGGGTGACTTTGGGCCAGTCACAGACTCTCAGCCCAACCTACCTCACAGGGTTGTTGTGGGGATAAGATGGAGGAGGAGAGATGATGTAAGCTGCCTTGAGCCCTTTGTAGGAAAAAGGCAGGATATAAATCGCAATATAAACAAGATGAGAAAGCGGGATGTAAATGTATTACTAAGAGGCTCTCATTGGCTACTAACCTTGCCCAATTTGGGCATCCCCAAAGAGAGGCTGGACAAGGTTCCCTTCCTCAGACAGAAGTGGGAAGCGAGTGGCTAGCTCTGCCCCACAGTGCCAAGACGTTGCTTTGCTTGACCCACTGCCCTTCCCTATAGGAATGCACAAGAGCCACTTGGCTTATATAGGAGAAACTATTGGGGTACTCTCAGGACCCTCCCCACTGCAATTAAGAAAGGAACCTCTTTGTTTTTGCAAGACTGTGTCCTGGTTTTTGTTCCTGGTCACACACGTGACCGACTGGCCGAAGTAAGTCAGATGTTTGGCATCTGAGCTTGGGCATTCTTTGCAGTCTTTCGTTATAATAACTTGGTTTTTGGTTTTGCTTATTTACAACAAGGGAATAGGACTTTCCATTCTGTGAACGCGTCTCCCATTGTGGATTTGCCATTTCCAAAGGCAGGGCTATCTAAACAATAAAAGAGGTTTCTTAAGGGAAGTGTTCTTGACCTGTTCAACATGGAGAGCCGCGGAGTGGGTGGCTGAGGAGTGCTGCTAGGGGAAGGATATTTCTGTCTAAGCATGCATAAGATTGCTCCCAAAGTGCTTCATCATTATGATCAATGTTCTGTACTGCAGAAAAGCCAAAGCACTCTCTTTCTGTCTCTCTTTTTGTATGTCAGCAGTGGCCAAACACCTTCAGGCTGAATGGGCTGGGAGCTGAGGACAGATTCTGTAGCACTTCAAGAACCGGAACTGCTCTCCTCCGTAACTAAAGCAGGGGTGCAGACCTTCAAGCCCTGGGGCCAGATCTTTCCCCCTGGCCTACGGTTCTAATCCAGACTTCCAGCTCTGCTCAGATGTTCACGCCCTTCTTCATTGTCTGCACCCCTTTCCTGCCTCCGTGATCATTGGTTTCCCAGCTTTTGTGCAGCTGCTTCCCCATGGGAAAAAGTTGGAATGCCTCCCCTACAGCTAGTTGTTGTTACTTGCGAAGTCGTGTCCGACCCATTGTGACCCCATGGACAACATTCCTCCAGGCCTTCCTGTCCTCCACCATCCCCCGGAGTCCACCCAAGCTCACACCCACTGCTTCAGTGACTCCATCCAGGCACCTCATCCTCTGCTGCCCCCTCCTTCTTTTGCCTTCAATTGTTCCCAGCATCAGGGTCTTCTCCAGGGAGTCCTTCCTTCTCATTAGGTGGCCAGAGTATTTGAGTTTCATCTTCAGGACCTGGCCTTCTAAAGCGCAGTCTACAGCTTAATGTGCTGCTATTAATTTGCATGGCATACTGAGCCACCTTGAGAAGAAGTCATAGTAGGTGACTCTCAACTGGGCTGGGCTGTTAACTCCTGCCATAGAATCCTCTGTGTGGTGGCTACCCCTGCCTGGTGTCTCCCTCAATGCATCTCAGTGCTTCTGCTCACACCCAACCCTTTTTCTTGGGACCTTTGTAGCAGAAATCCTTGCGTCCTTTACCAGCATTTTTTTCCAGCTGGTGTGCTGCAGTTGCTAGTAGATGAAGGAAACTCACTGGTCAGAAAAAAAAATATATATTTTGGAGCCTTTGCAAATGTGGGAAAGGGTTTGCATACTTTAAAACCCCCAGAAATGTTCATAAATTTCTCTTTTCTACTGCTCTGACATGAAATATGTGCACATTTCCCCTCTGTTGTACTACTTTGCCTCGAAATGTGTGCAGATTTCCTCTGCACTGCATTGCTTTGCAACAATGACGTGTAATTTGTGTGATCCTGTTCACTGCCTTGTGATAGCTGACCACACATGTCAGTTCAGGGAAGTGGCAGCTGCAACTCTGGAGGAAACAGCCCAAAGAAAATAAAAGCATTCACTTGTGAACATGTTCTGGATATTTTCCAGTGTCCTTTCTTCCTTCAAGATTCCAACCACAAAAAGCTTAAAAATCCGCCCTGTGGCTGAGACGGAATGATGGGGAATGGGGGTGAAGTGGGATGTGTTTCTGTCGCTCTTACTAGTTGGCTCTCAAGTGATAAAAAATTCTCTGCTGCATTCAAACATCACACTAAGTCATCCTAAGAATAAGCCAACACCCCAAGCAGCCCTCCTACCAGTCAGCGGCTCCCTCTTCCAACGATGGGAAATTTACCCTGGGTTCCTACACGACACTTAGCCACTCTGCAACTATACCTGATCACAACCCACCATGACTTTTCATGGCACGCACTGCGAGGATTACAGAAAAGCGGAGAAAGAGCAGGGATATGATTTCTGCATTGCTGTTGAGCCAAAGATGCTGGAATGACATCCTCACAAAGTCAAGTTCCACCACACTGCTGCTTGTTGACTTGAAGGCTGTATTTGCATGGTGCACAGAGAGTCAGAAGGGGCTGTCTGGGCCATCTAGTCTGACCCCTGGCACAAGCCAGCTCTGCTCATGGAATCCCCAGCATGTTGTTGTGCACTCTTTCCTTGAACACCCTCACCGATGGGGCCTCCACCACCTCCCTTGGGAGCCCATTCCATCTCCTAGGGGTCCTAACCATCAGGAAGTACTTCCTGACATCCAATCAGGAAGTACTGACATCCTGGTCCTTGAGCTTTGCCCCGTTGGACTGCGTCCTTTCCTCCACTACAGGGGAAAACAGGTCATGGCCCTCTACCAAGCGGCAACCTGTCACACACCTGTATGTCCATGTAAGATTCCCTCTGAGTCTCTTCCAGGCTGCAAAGACCCAGCTCCCTCCATCTCATCTCATCTGTCATCCACCCAATCTGGCTGCCATCCTTGTGACCCTGTGTCGACCCCATCCCAACCTTGCTATGTCTCTCTGTAATGTGGACTCCATAATTGGGCACACCACTTAAGCTCACACCACTTAAGCTCACACCAACTGGACTCCATCCAGGCACCTCATCCTCTGCCACCCCCTCCTTCTTTTGCCATCTATTGTTCCCAGCATTAGGCTCTTCTCCAGGGAGTCCTTCCTTCTCATTAGGTGGCCAAAGTATTTGAGTTTCATCTTCAGGATCAGGCCTTCTAAAGAGCAGTCAGGGTTGATCTCCTCTAGGGCTGACCAGTTTGATCGCCTTGTGGTCCAAGGGACTCGCAGGAGTCTCCTCCAGCACCACAATTCAAAGGCCTCAATTCTTCAGTGCTCAGCCTTCCTTATGGTCCAGCTTTCACAGCCATACATTGCCACTGAGAAAGCCCTCCTCCGAGTACCTACCCTCCTAATTTCTTTCATGGAGGGTTCCCGGAGAAGGGCCTCTCCCGCAGATCTCAAGGGGCGGCCGGGCATATATGGATGTAAGCGCTCCTTCAGGTAACCAGGACCCAAACCCAAACCCAAGTTTGGAGGCACTGGATTTAACCCTAGAAAGTAGAAATCCAGCTTGCATTTCACATAGGCTGGGTTCAAATGGGCACAATTACCTACACACAAAGGTTGGTTGTAGGTTATCTCTGAACTATGGTTTATTGCTGATATTTATTTATTTATTTAAACCATTTTTTAATGCCGCCCCATTCGCAAAAAGCCTCGGGGCAGCTTACAACCCAGTTATCATGCTGTCTGAACCCAACTAAACCCAGTCTGGGTTTAGCACAAAGAGCCCAAAGTTCATAGAAATCCAACTACTAGCCATGGTTTGTTAGTGTAGCTGCATTCGGACATGATACCCCACAGTTCAATGATACAGGGAAGATCAGCATGTTGACTGAATGCAATCAAAGTGTGTCCCAGTCCACTAAGGATTCGGGAAATAGATCTGTTAAAGCAGCCTCCCCCAGTCTGCTCCCCTCACATGTGCTGGGGATACTGGGAGATGTAGTCCAACCCATCTGGAGGGGAACAGACTGGAAAGGTTGGTGTGGAACTTCTGCCTCGTTTACTCCAATGGAGTAACACGGCTCTCTCTCGAGGGCTGCAAGAGGAGTGTCCCCACACCCTGCACATCCCACATCCGACACTTGGGCTGCGAGTCACGAGTTCAAATCTCACTCGTGCATTTTTTACAACCCCTGCAGACGAATATGCGGGAGCGAATCCCGCTCCCCGAGGAAGCCGCACGCCAGATCCCGCTCCGTGTGTCTGGATGTGGCATGGCGGAACGGCGCAACCTTCCTCCTCGCGATCATGGCAAGGATACTGGAGTGGGTTGCCATTTCCTTCTCCAGTGGATCACGTTTTGTCAGAGCTCTCTGCTATGACCTGTCCGTCTTGGCTGGCCCTGCACGGC